GTTTTGGTTTCCTTTTTAAAAATTGTGGTAAAATACATAACAAAAGTAACTATCTTACGTGAGCCGTTCTGTGATATGAAGTGAATTCACTGCCTTGTGTGACCTTGGCCACCATCATTCCCCACTACTCACTCCCGCTGGACTTCCAGCCCTGCCCCACCATTCCGCTCCCTCTACAGCTATGGGTTTTACGAAGAAGGATGCAGGGCGACCTGACTGCGGCGTGAGGGGCAGGCCTGCCCTCGGTATGGGCGTCCGCTGAAGGGGGAAGCCCAGGTATCTGCTTGACTCATGGGTTGGGGGGTTGGGCATGTGGGGAGGGATGGAGTTGGAGGTGCATCCTCTCAGCCACCTGGTGGGGGTGGCCCGTTTGGTCCCGTGTGTGAACGGGAGATGAGACCCGACGCCTGCGATCGCGCAGACCGCGCCCCGCCAGGAGTCATCTGTGGGCGCACGCTGCTGGGATGCTGGGCCAAGCCCGCGGGTTCAAGACCCAGATCTCAGCCAGGTTCCTTTCGCCGTCCGAGCCTCCGCACCTCGTGGGCTCCGAGCACACCCAGGCCAGAGACAGCGTTTGGGGCGTGGGCACGGGAGACGGTCATCAGCAGGGACGATCTCGACCGATCTGGCCCCGCCCCGCAGCCCAGTCTCTGAGACCGCGCTGACGCGCCACTCTGGGAGCGATGCGGTACGCGGGGCCACGCCTACTGTGGGAGGGGATTCTGTGGGCGGGCCTCTGTCGGGCCAATTGGGATCGCCGCAGGATAGGCACGCGCCGCGGGCTGAGCAATAGGGGCGCGCGTCGTCCTCTCCAGTTAACCCGCGCGGCCCTGGTCACAGAGCTCCAGGCTGCGCGGTCCCCTGCAAGCGCGGGGAGCTGGGGGACTAACGCCGCCTATCCACGCCCCTCACACCTCTGCGGGTCCCTTCTCGCCCCAACCCTTCCCACCGCGTCACCCAAACCCCCGCGGACCCGTCTCGCCCCAGCGCTCCCCGCCACGCCCCCCACACCTCTGCGGGCCCCGCCTCGCGCCAACCCTCCTCGCCACAACACCCACAACTTTGAACACCCCGCTACGCTCCCTGCCGCGCCCTCACACCCCTGCGGATCCCGTCTCTCCACGACGCTCCCTGCCACCCCCGCGGAGCGCCGCGTCACCCCAATGCTCCCGGCCGAGCCACTGCACCACTGCGGACTCCTTGTAGACCCCTTCTTGCCCCAACCCTCTGCGCTACTCCCTTTATACTCCTGCGGACCTAGTCTCGTTTCGTCCCAGTCCTCCCTGTCGCGTCCCTCACATCCCTGCGGACCCCACCGCGCCTTACCTCGCCCTTCTGTTACCTATCACGCACAGGTGGATTCCACTATGACCCAGCTTGACTTATCGTCCCGCACCTTCGCACCTCGCCTCTCGCCGCGCCCTCACTGTCTTGGGAAGTGAAGGGGAGGAGTGATCTGGGCACTCTAGAAGCACCCCGGCTCGGAGCTTCCCTAGCTCGGAGTTGGTTTTGAGCTCAGGCCAGGAACCCAGGGTGGGCACAGCAGGGGACGTGGGCACCAGAAGCGTGGAGGAAGGCCAGTTCCTCAGCCCAGCTTTTCCGCCCCTGGAGTCTTGGACAGCTCCGGAGCGTCCGGGTACTCCCTTCCAGCCTGGCCCTGTGCCTTTTATCACATTTGTGTCACCTACGTTTTTTCTCAATGGGATTACACTTTTGCTATTTGCAGTTCGGTTTTTTGTTTGTTTGTTTTTTTGAGACGGAGCCTGGCTGTGTTGCGCAGGCTGGAGTGCAGTGGTGCGATCTCTGCTCACTGCAGCTTCTGCTTCCCCGGTTCAAGCGATTGTCCCGTCTCAGCCCCCTGAGTAGCTGGGATTACAGGCGCAGGCTACCACGCCTGACTAACTTTTTTGTATTTTTAGTAGAGATGGGGTTTCACCATGTTGGCCAGGCTGGTCTTGAATTCCTGACCTCAATTGATCCGCCTGCCTAGGCCTCTGAAAGTGCTGGGATTACAGGCGTGAGCCACTGTGCCCAGCCTTTTTTTTTTTTAAAAAAAAAAAAAAAAAAAAACAGGGAGTCTCACTGTGTTGCCCAGCCTGGCGCGATCCTGGCTCACTGCAACCTCCGCCTCCTGGTTCAAGTGATTCTCCTGCCTCAGCCTCCCGAGTAGCTGGAATTACAGGCGTGCATCAACACGCCCAGATAATTTTTTGTATTTTTGTTAGTAGAGACGGTGTTTCACCATGTTAGCCAGGCTGGTCTCGAACTCCCGACCTCAGGTGATGCGCCTGCCTCGGCCTCCCAAAGTGCTGGGATTACTGGTGTGAGCCACCACGCCCAGTTTTTGTTGTTGTTGTTTTTGCTTGTTTGTTTTTGTTTGTTTTTTGAGGCACAGTCTCACTCTGTCGTCCAGGCGGGAGTGCAGTGGTGCCATCTCAGCTCACTGCAACCTCCACCTCCCAGGTTCAAGCGATCCTCCTGCCTCAACCTCCATAGTAACTGGCTACTGTTCCTGGCTAATTTTTGTATTTTTCATATAAACGGGGTTTCACCATGTTGGCCAGGCTAGTCTCGAATTCCTGGCCTCAAGTGATCCACCCGCCTCGGCCTCCCAAAGTGCTGGGATTACAGGCATGAGCCACTGCGCCTGGTCTGCAGCAGTTTTTCTTTGTTTTTTAAAGAGATGGGATCTCACTGTGTTACCCAGGCTGATCTTGAACCCCTGGGCTCAATTTTTGTCACTGTACCTGGCTAATTTTTGTACTTTTAGTATAAACGGGATTTCACCATGTTGGCCAGGCTGGTCTCAAACTCCTGGCCTCAAATGATCCACCCTTCTTGGCCTCCCGAAGGGCTGAGATTACAGGCGTGAGCCACTGCGCCTGGTCTGCACCCAGTTTTCGTTAGTTTTTTACGGAGATGGGATCTCACTATGTTGCCCAGGCTGGTCTTGAATCCCTAGGCTCAAATCATCCTCCTGCTTCTGCCTCCCGAAGTGCTGGGATTACAGGCTTGAGCCACCATGCCCGGCCATAATTATCCAGTTGTAAGGTCGGCTGATTAATTCATCTCTCCATATAATAACACATTCACAGTTTGGGAGATTAAGATGAGAACATCTTTGGAGAGGCCATTATTTTGCCTTTTAGAGAGAAAGGCCCAGGACAGGAATTCCCACTGCTCAGGTTTAAAGGAAATACTATGTTCCTATCATTGGTTTATGAAGGCCCCCCTTTCTCTACATTCCTACCAACATTGGATATTTTCCACTTTTGGGACTTTTAGCAGTTGTTGAGCCAGCCCATTTTACCTCAGGGAAAATTGAGGTTTAAGGAGGGGAAATTACTTGCCTAAGATCTCATGCAACTTTCTGTTTCCTGACTCCCCGTTAAGTCTGATTCTCTCTTGGCATGCCTTATATGGGAGGATATTTACCCTGTGGCTTGGAAACTGCTCAATGACTTTGTATCTTCCATCCATCCACATATCTGCAGCCCAGCAAATGTATATTGGGAGCCTCAGACATGTGACCAGGGCCTTGTGGGCCAGAGGCAGACAGGAGACCATGTTGTCTCTTTTTTCTTTTCTTTTTCTTTTTTCTTTTTTTTTTTTTTTTTTTTTTTTTTTTTTTTTTTTTTTGAGACAGTGTCTCCCTTTGTCACCCAGGCGGGAGTGCAGTGGTGCAATCTCAGCTCACTGCAACCTCTGCCTCCCGAGTTCAAGAGATTCTTCCATACTTACCTGGCAGGGGAGATACTTATGATCACGAAGGTGGTTTTCCCAGGGTGAGGCTTATCCATTGCACTCCGGATGTGCTGACCCCTGCGATTCCCCCAAATGTGGGAAACTTGACTGCATAATTTGTGGTAGTGGGGGACTGCGTTCGTACTTTCCCCTGAGAAGAAAAAAAAAGAGACAGAGATTCTTCTGTCTCAGCCTCCTGAGTAGCTGGAATTACAGGCATCCACCACCATGCCTGGCTAATTTTTGTAGTTTTAGTAGAGACGGGGTTTCATCATGTTTGCCAGACTGGTCTCCAACTCCTGACCTCAAGTGATCCACCTGCCTCACTCTCCCAAAGTGCTGGGATTATGGGTGTGAGCCACCGCACCTGGCCAGTGTTGTTGTCTTTTGAGAGCCCCCTTTTCTCTCACCTGATCTCCCTGCCCCCCATTTTCCCCTTTAGTCCCCTTTCCAGGTGCTACTGAGTAGCTGCAGTGTCAGTTTAGAAATGCCAACCAGGTTGGGATCCTTGCTGGGAGAGCCCTTCCTTCCCTGGTTTTGAAACTCAGAGCCTTCTGGTGTGCACATCTGCAGGGTCCAGGCCAGGGCTGTGCTTCTTGCTTGTCTCTGTCTCTGCCTGAGACTGGAATCCTGGCTCTGTCCTCAACTAGCTTGAAGGGGATCCCCAGTAATGACGCCTCCTGTGTAACCTTCATGCCCTTGTGTAACCTTGTTTCACTTTGTAAAACATTTTATTTAAAGTTTTTGTTGTTGTTAGAGACAGGGTCTCACTTTGTTGCCCAGGCTGGTCTCAAACACCTGGCCTCAAGCAGTGCTCCTGCCTCAGCCTCCCAAAGTACACCCGATCTCTTTCTATCAGGGTTGTTGTGTGTGACCAGCAGATGTGTTGGAAGTGATGGTGTGTCACTTCTAAGGTTAGGTCATTAAAGACATGGCGGCTTCTATCTTGCGTGTGTTCTCTTTCTCTTGGGCCACTCACTCTGGGGAAAGCCAGCTGTCGGGGCTTGAAAAAACACACCCCTTTGAAGATGCCCATGTGGTGAGGGACTGAGGCCTCCAGCCCATAGCTGTGGGAATGTGGGAATGAACCTTTTAGGAAGTGCATCTTTCGGCCCTGCTCTAGCCTTTGATGACTCAGCCCTGGCTGCATCTTCATGGCAACTTCACGAGTGCCTGAGGCAGACCACCCAGCCCAGACTCTCCTGGATTCCAGACCCACAGGAACCATGAGTTAGATGTCTTTGTTGTTTTACACATCTAAGTTTTGGGGCAATTTATTACACAGTAGTAGATAACTAATACACCAGCTGTAGAGCTTTGGGCATGTTCCTTAGCCTCTGCACCCCCATTTCCTCCCTTGTGCCATGAGAGTTGTAGAGGTGAGTGAGGAATGCATAGATGCAGCACAGGGCCACACACATGAGGGCAGCTTTTCAGCCCCTCCCGGGATGGTCCTGGTCATCTTCTGGCTCTTCCCTGGATGGACTGTGACCTCACAACGTCAGGTCAACTTACTGCATTCTTGGCCTGAGGTCATCCATTGGCCATGGACAGAGGTTCTGGGCAGGAAAGGGTGAGATAAAGAGAGGGGTCAGTTTCCTTCCTCCAGCCCGGGTCCGGAGAATCGTGCTGCGCCAGGTGAGACATCCACTGTCTGCGTGGTGTCCTGGGATGGGCAGCTGGACCTGACTCAAGGGGAGGTGCTTCCTGGTCTCCTTGCCTTGGGCTTGGCCAAGCATTCTGGCTGCCATTGGGGCCCCCAGGACAACTGAGAACTGTCCTTTCTTCACCTTCAGCTGCCCCTCTCCTCTGTCCCCTGGTGCCTGCTCAGATGCTTACTTCATGGAACAGCGTCCTCCTGACCCCTGGCCCCTGCCGCTGAGGCTCCTCCACCCTGGGCTCCGTGTTCTAGAGTTCACCGTGTGCTAGTTCTTCAAGCTGTTTATCCTTCACTGCTTCCCTTTTCTCTGTGGATTACTCAAAAACTACATGGCCATGTGTCAGTATAAAAAAAAAAAAGTTGACTGGGCGTGGTGACTCACGCCTGTAATCCCAGCATTTTGGGAGGCTGAGACAGGCAGATCGCTAGAGTTCGAAACCAGCCGGGTCAACATGGTGAAACCCAGGATCTACAAAAATATACAAACATTTGCCCGTGCTTGGTGGCACATGCCTGTATTCCCAGCTACTTGGGAGGCTGAGGCAGGAGAATCGCTTGAACCCAGGAGGCGGAAGTTGCAGAGAGCACAGACGGAGCCACTGCACTCCAGCCTGGGCAGCAAAGCAAGACTCCCATCTCAAAAAAAAAAAAACAAAAAACCCCAAATCAATCCCAAACACAAACAAAAAACTATCATCGACATTAACAACTACAAAGCGCCCAGCTAATTTTATATTTTTAGTAGAGATGGGGTTTCTCCATGTTGGACAGGCTGGCCTGGAACTCCTGACCTCAGTGATCCGCCCGCCTCGGCCTCCCAAAGTGAGCCACCGCGCACGGCCATGAATATGACTTTATAGCCCAGATTCCCTTCCGTGAACGCTTGTTAGTTGTGAAACTAGCAAAGTTGCACCTCCGAGTTTACACAGAGCCAGCTCCGGAATCCGAGTTCCGGGTTCGAGCACAGCGCCGCCGCTACCTCGGGCGTGACCTTGGTCGGAGCCCGGTCCCCTCTGAGCCTCAGTTTCCCGGTCTGGGAGCCCGGAATGACAGCTCGCCCCCTGCCCCGCCCAGCCCCGCCCCGCAGGCCCTGGGATTGGTTGGTGCGAGGTCCCCCTCCCCAGGCGGGGCCGGGCCTCTCCCGCCTGCTAGGCCCCAACCCGGAAATGCAGCTGGGGCGGAGGCGGGGCCCACTTAGGCCGCGGCGGAGCGACGCTGGGAGCGGCCAATGGGCGCGGGCGGCGGCTGCGGCGCGACGGAAGTCCTGCCCGGCGTCGCGCGGGGGCGGGGCGGCGCCGGGGGCGGCGGGCGGCTGGCGGCGGGGCGGGCGCAGGATGAGGGCGGCCATTGCTGGGGCTCCGCTTCGGGGAGGAGGACGCTGAGGAGGCGCCGAGACGCGCAGCGCTGCGGGGGAGGCGCCCGCGCCGACGCGGGGCCCATGGCCAGGACCACCAGCCAGCTGGTGAGCGCGCGGCGGCGGCCTGGGCGCGCCGGCGGCCTGGGCGCGCCGGGTTGTTACCCCGCCGGGTGCGGCGGTCGCCTGGGTCCGGCGAGGCGGGGCGGTCCGGGGTCCCCAGGGCCGGGTGCCGCCTCACCTGTAGCCGGGCGGCCGGGCGGGGGATGGCGGGCGCCGGCCGAGGGCGCTGCTCGACTGCGGCGGGGAGTCCGGGCCTGGGTTGCGGCGGGCGCCGGCCTGGCCGGGGGCGCTGACAGACGCGCGGAGGGCGGGGGAGGCCGGGAGGTGTCACCCGGCCCAGCGGGGTGGAAGTGCCTGGAAAGTTTGTTTTCGGCTCGGCGCAGCCTGGAGTCGAGCCTGCAGGGTTACCTTTCGGTTCTGTCTGTAGAGGAACCGCCCTGGGCTTCCACCTGGAACGGGGTCCCTGGCGTCTCCGCCTGCGAGAGAAGCAGAAGGTGCAAGTTCTTGCTTAAAGCACCTGATGCGCCTGGGCCCCCGTTTCCAGATTCTCGATGACAGTGGTCGGGTAAACTCTCCTTTCACGGCCTGGCCAAGGGGCATTTGGGTGCTTTTCCTGCCCGTGGCTGTGCTCAGCGTTGTGGGAAGCCCCTGGGAGACCGAATGTGCAGGATCACCGAGGGGAAAGTGAGCTTGACAGGTAGGAGGGATTTTACGGGAAGGACCGAAACAAACCACTTGTTGGGTGAAATGTTTTGCTAAAAGTGTCGCTGATGTTTCTATATTTTCTTTCTGTCGCTAAAAGTATCCCTCGTGTTTTTATGTTTTCCATATGCTAAGTTCTACAGTCTGGGGACGATGGTTTAAGAATTTATGCCTTGTATGCGATGCGCAGTGGGTGATGGAAGAACGTCTACATAGCTTTAAAATTTGATTTAAAAGGTGAATATTTTAAATGAAGGAAAACTCAAGAAATATAATTGATCCTTTATCGGATGCGGCCTTTTTTTTTTTTTTTTTTTTTTTTTTAGATAGAGTCTCGCTCCCGACGCGCAGGATGGAGTGCAGTGATGCGATCCCGGCTCACTGCAACCTCCAACTCCCGGCTTCAAGCGATTCTAGCTGCTGCCTCCCTAGTAACTGGGATTACAGGCGTGTGCCACCATACCTGACCAATTTTTGTATTTTTAATAGAGATGGTGTTTCACCATGTTGGCCAGACTGGTCTTGAACTCCTGACCTCAGGTGATCCGTCCGCCTAGTCCTCCCAAAGTGCTAGGATTACAGGCATGAGCCACTGTGCTTGGCAGATGTGGCTTTTTGATAGGCATTCTTGATCTTTTTTTATGTGTGTATGGGGGCGTCGTGAGTCTGAGAACCTGAGGAAAGGTATGGGCCCTCTTCTGAGAAAAATGCAGTGCGACGCTGAATTTTGTAACTATGTTAGGAGGCTCTTGAACTTTCTGCAGCTCACTTGTGGACTTTGTAGAGATGCGTGATAACTCGAAGTGTTAAGGAAGAATATTCAGTTGAGAAAAATGTCGAAGGGTTGAAAGGGATGCCTTTCGCTATTTCAACTTGTGTGGCTGTACCCCAGAGTGCCCCGGGTAACATAATAACATGAATTAGGCGGCTTGCTGAGGCTCAGCGGAGGCTGGGGCCGAGAGTCATGTCGAAGTTTGTGAGGTTAACCTGCACCCAGTGACAGTCATGGCGAAGTTTGAGGTTAACTCGCACCCAGTAACGCTGTTGCAATGCAAGGTGTATATTTGGTGTCATCGACGGGAAGAGGAAAGAGCAAATTTTCTCACGGCCTTGGCAGTTCCACATGATGGACGTTTAGTATCTGCAGTTTTCTTCGCATAAGGCAGCTATTTTGTACAAAAACATTAGAATCCAGTGAGCAAGAATGATAGAATACAGGATAGATTTCCGCAGAGAAAGTGTCAGGAACGAGGCTTTTGCATCTCTGTCAGCTGGATTTCCACATGTGTACATATGTGAGAACATGCCGTGTTTCCTGTCCATAATGGTGGAGGCGGCCCTAATATTGGGGAGGATAGACCTGAAGATTCATCTGAGGACAGATAGACCTTCAGGGTTCGGGTGGGTTTGCATCTGGACTTTAGGGTGGCCCTGTGGGCCCCGTGTGAGAAGCCCCTGCCCGGTGAACTTTCCCACGTGTGTACGCGTGGACAGCCAACAGAGGGAGCAGTGCGAGCGTGAAGGCAGACAGTGGCCTGGCCCAGTCTGATGCTAAGTGGGCCAGAGGCAGTGAGTACCATTTCTTGAGCTGACTACTTAAGACAGGTGCTTCCCTAGGTACTTTCACACCTCATTGCAAGGTAGGCGTTGTTCCCATTTTACAGGTGCAGAAGCTGAGCTGCAGAGACGTTAAGTACCTGCCTCATAAGTGGTAGAAACTCCAGTGTCGCCCTGCCCCTCATGTTCAGAGCCCCCGAGGGAGGGTCTGCCGGGCAGCTCAGCCCAGCACTCTGTGTAAGGAAGTCTTCAGTGCCGCTGTCCAGGATGTCTTCCCGGGGGTTGGGCCTGAACGTCTTGACCATGCCGTGCTGGAGGCAGGAGGGGTGTCTTCATGTGGATGAACTGTACATATTTCTTTGGCAGATGGCTGAGCTCTGTGACCCCGGGGCCTGTTTCAGCCTCCTGCTGTCAGAAAGCAGCTGTTTGGAAAGAGGCTGTGATTCAGCCTTGTTTGAGGGCCGATACTCTGAATGGGTGAAGCTTGGAATCCTCCCTTTGGCGACAAAGAAACATGTAATGATTCTGCTGAAGGTAGAATTGGGGGACTAGGCAGAGTGGGCTCCTGCCCTCCCTAGGATGGTTCTGTCTTTTGCAAAGGTGGCTGCGTCCTCAGGGGAAGGTGAGGGGAGAAGCAGAGAGCATGGAGAGAAGTGGCTTTCAATTTTCTCCCTCTTTTTGGGGAGTTCCTCCTTATGTGGCTGGTCTGGTGCATAGTGTGATGTATTCCTGTTCCCAGCGATGCCCCGACAGCCAGTGCAAGCTGAGTCCAGAGTTGGCAAGGTGAGGTCCCAGTAGTAAGAGGGAAGTGGTTTGTTCGGCTCTTCTGAGATGTGTTTTATGAGAAAGATCCAGCAGCAGGCTGCAGAGATGTGGGGCCTGAAAAGAGGCCTTGGGCAGGTCTTCTCAGCAGGTCTTGGCCCTCTAGACTGCGTTCAGCACAGTTTTGGGGAGGAACAGGGAGCGTTCCCTTTTCTTTTCTTTTTTTTTTTTTTTTGAGGTGGAGTCTCGCTCTGTTGCTCGGGCTGGAGTGCAGTGGTGCGATCTCCACTCACTGCAAGTTCTGCCTCCCGGGTTCACGCCATTCTCCTGCCTCAGCCTCCCAAGTAGCTGAGACGACAAGTGCCCGCCACCACACCCGGCAAATTTTTTGTGTATTCAGTAGAGACGGGGGTTCCCCTTGTTAGCCAGGATGGTCTCAATCTCCTGACCTCGTAATCCGCCCACCTTGGCCTCCCTAAGTGCTAGGATTACAAGTGTGAGCCACCGTGCCCAGCCTAGTGTGCTGGAGTGCAGTGGCACGTCCTCTGCTCACTGCAAGCTCCGCCTCTTGGGTTCACGCCATTCTCCTGCCTCAGCCTCCCAAGTAGCTGGGACTACAGGCGCCCACCACGCCTGGCGAATTTTTTGTATTTTTAGTAGAGATGAGGTTTCACCGTATTAGCCAGGATGGTCTTGATCTCCTGACCTCGTGATCCGCCCACCTCGGCCTCCCAAAGTGCAGGGATTACAGGCATGAGCCACCGTGCCCAGCAGTGGTCCCTTTTCAATCTATACATTCTTCCCCTGAGCCACCTGACCCAGGGTTTAGATGCTTCAGAGCCAGTGATTGACACCGGTGGGAGATGGAGTCCAGCAAGTAGATGATGAACTGGGAAGCGCTGCAGAAATGAGGGGGTGAGCATGGCCAGTCCCTTCTGAGAGGATGTGTTTGGAAGAGAGTGGGCACTGGCGTGGCACTTTCCTCCTCTGAAGAGGCATCTTCTGTGGAAATGGACTTGGACAGGATGCCACATGGTACAGCAGTTCTGTGGGGGGCAGGTTGTGGCTTCGGAGAAGCACTGGGTGCAGAAACAGTCCCCCGAGCAGGTGCGGGGGCTAGGGTGCTGTGTGCTGCTCCACGCCTGCCGTGCAGTGACAGGTGGCCACCGGGCTGCCCAGCACAGTTGTTTAGAAAGCAGGTTCAAAGGGCAGTGTGCTGGGAGGAAGTGCTGGTGTGGAAACTGCAAGTTTTGGACATGTATTGCTCAGGTCTTTTCAGCCGTGCCTTCTTCTATAACAGAATTGCATTATTCACTTGCTCAGTGTCACATCATGTCCTTTAAAAAATTATTTGAAAATTGAGAACAGGTTGTATGTTCCGTCTCTAGCTGTTAGATCACACGCAGGGCACATTTTCTCAAAGAGTAACGAGACGTGGGTTCTGTGTGTTCTCTTCTCTCTTAGGGAGGAGAAAGCCCTGTTTGGGTTCATGATGCTTGTTGGGGGGGTCTCTTTTCTGTACCTGATGTTGGTTGCACAAAGTCTGTTTCCATTCTATTAGTCTAGAAAATTTTCCTGATATTTCAACTGGAATTTTTGCTCCAACAAATTCCAGGTC